CCCTTGGGGTGGTTGTGGAAAGATAAGAGTTACTGCCCACGGCAGCTCTAGAAGGCAAAGGCCATACTAACCTAGCATTGCCTATCCCTGGTGGTCATGTGCCCTGCTTCTCACGGCAGTACCGCAGCGGTTTCCTTGCTGGTGTCTTGGTTTATACAGGCAGAAGCAGGCAAAATTCTGGAGGTGAATTCAAGGCTAAGAGCTAACGAAATAATCCCCCACCTTCCTGAGATGGACACCCCAGTGGTACCCCACACCCCAGTTGGTGGGTGCCTGTAATACTTGTCAAATGAGTAGCAATTAGTGTAAGGTCTAGGTTCAAAATACGCTGCTTCACTTCCCTGAGATGAGCAGGCTGTCAGTCCGCAATGGAAAGGGAAGAAAGGGTTGTTTCACCCTGCCTGCAGGGAACTAGTGCATGGTCTAAAAAGAGCTTATGCGACTTTTTAACTATAAACCCCTGATCCTGCCACCTGGAAATCCCCCTTCCCTTTGTCACGGGATTACAAATATTGCTTCATCTCAGAGCCGGGATGCAGATTTCAAAACAAATCCTCAATTGTTGGAGACCTGTGTGCCTCCAGGTACTTCAATATGCCACTTCCCACCAGCTCTGGATTTGTCTGCTTACAAACAGGCTGGTTTCTAGTACTTCAGCTGCTGAAACACCAGCTGTAGTACTTTTTTAAGATTACTTAATATAGCAACAGAAGCACATTCTTCTATAAATACGAGGTATGCTAGATGCCACAAAACCAGTTAACAAGAATTTAGCACATGCAGCGAACAAGTCTCTGCGAATACATTAAATCCCATCCCAGGATTTTATAGAAGGCAGTAGCCACGATACTGCTGGGACTCCTGCCTATCTCCTACAAACTGCTTGTTTCCCATAAACGCCATTGAGAGTCTGATTCATGAGTCTGCTCCTCAGTTGGATTCTCTGCTGATTCACAATCTTGTCATGACCAGAGGGCAGCGAACGTTTGTTCTCCCTGATGGTCATTCAGCTGCAACCAAAAAAAAAGAAGGAAAAACCAGGGAGGAATAATATGGCATTTTCTGACTCTTCTCTCCCCGCAGCTATAAAGATGGATTTGGAGCAAAAAGTCTTTGGACAGCATCTTGCTATCCAGATAGTTCTGAGAGCTCTGAGTGCAAATATGAACTCCAAACGGCCCAGGAAGCCCCTGGTGATGTCCTTCCATGGCTGGACTGGAACAGGCAAATCATCCGTCAGCAGTATCATTGCAGAGAACCTCTATCAGCTCAATATACCAAGAAGGAGATTTGTGCACCACTTCAGCACAGTACTGCATTTCCCACACCTTTCACAAGTCCATCTCTATAAGGTATTTCCAGCTTTATCTCACTGTCTTCAATTTATCTGCGATTGTGAGTGCAAATCCCAGGTAATTTTGCCTCTTTTCACAGGAGCAGCTGCAGAATTGGATACGGGGCAACGTCAGTGCCTGTTCGAGGTCCCTTTTTATCTTCTCTGAAATGGATCAGATGCCGCACGGCCTGATAGACTCTATCATGCCATTCCTTGGCTACCATGAAGAGATTGATGGTGTTTATTACGGCAAGGCAATCTTCCTCTTTCTGAAGTAAGGAAAGCCGAAGGCAGAAAGGGAATTACAGTCCCACAGAATCTGCAGAGACAAAGGGAGTAACAGTCGCTGCTAGGTTTGTAGCTGACTGCAGCATGGCTGAGCAGCTCAAGGTCCCTTGATGTCTGTCTTTACAGCATATTGTCAATGAACATGGCCAGCCGTCATGTCAGCCAGAAGACCTGAGCTATTCAACACTACAGAGAGAAGCGAGCTGTCCCAGGGCTGAAAAGGCTCCCATTCCTCAAGTGAATGGGAAATGGACAAGTAACTGTGGTGGCTCCTAAAAGTACTGGAGATGCCACTTCCACAGTGGTCAGTAAATATGTTCTCCCCAGCTCTGTAACACCACTGTTAGGCAGAAAGTTCTTTGTAAGATGGGTGGGACTCCCCTACGGAGCTCTTTGGAGGCAAAGAGGGGAGAACTCACCTGTTGAAGGCCACTTGCATAAACAGATCAAGGGAGCACAATTCCTCCAGGTATTATTCCTGGGAAATCCCTTTGTGGAGGGTCATCCCAGCTCTTTTCAAGCAACATGACTGAAGCAAGCCTGCACCCCAAGCTTTGGGCTGGTGTACCCCTCAGCTTGCCTTTATGTTCAAACACGTGGCCAACTACCTATTTCAGCTTGAGGCAGTGATTACCACAGTGAGTAGCAGCTTGTTAGAGAGCCTCTCGGTAACCCCTGGCAGTAGGTCCAATCCCCCTGCTCTGCTGCAATGACCGATGCAGTAGTTCAAGCCACGGTGCCAGAGGAGTGCTCATCCCATCAGACACTGTTGACATCTGGGAGACAGTGTGGTCCTTGTCACCTCCACTCCAGTGCAGATTCACATAGCGTGACTTAAACTACTGCCCAGATCTGAGCAATAAAGATGGCAAAGATACAGCTCTAATACGCCAGTGAATCTCTTTCCTAACAGCAATGCAGGTGGAGATAAGATAACTGAGATTGCTCTTGACTACTGGAGAAGGCTGAAGAGAAGAGAAGACATTTCTGCGAAGAAGCTCCAGCCTCTGCTCTCAGAGGAAATTTTCAGGAACAGAAACAGTGAGTACATCTGGGACTGCTGATGTCTTCTGCAAAATGATGCATGAAGCGTGCTACAACACACCGGCCTCCGCAGCACTACGATGGTAAAGCTCCCAATTGTCTCTTCCAGGTGGTTTCTTTCACAGCCAACTGATCCAGAAGAACCTGATCGACTATTTTATACCTTTCCTTCCTCTCGAATATAAACATGTGAGAGAGTGTGTCCGGAAGGAGCTGCGCATGCAAGGGCATCCTGAGGATGAAGACCTCATCACAGAGATTACCTTGGCAATGATTGATTACCCCAGCGATGACAGACACTACTCCAGCAAAGGCTGCAAGTCTGTAGCCTCCAGAGTGACTCTGAGCCTCTAAGCACTACAAGGCCAAATGCCACGTCTTCTGGTTACCAGACCACAGTAGATGGAAGAACCAGTAACTCCCTTTCCTCTCCCTGCAGCTCAATCTACACACTCTTCCTCGAAGGGATTCAGCCTGTCCCGGACCAGAGGCGCCTTTTGTAGAGCTCTTGAATAAACACACAGGGCACGACAATGATCGCAGTAAAGAGGGACATACATGGGTGATGAGGTTTGCTCAGAAACACTTCCAAATGAAAGTATTTTGAAGAGGAAAATCTGCCACCTTTGTGGCAAGAGTGCTTGCACCTGAAGCCCTAGAATTGCTCTAATTAATAAAATCTATCAATAAATTAACATTCTCAATAATAGTATGGGTCTGTTTCACACTAGCTGTCACCTGCGTATCTCACAGAAATCACCCAGGAAGATCAGCACCACTGTTCCTGCTCTACAGGCGTGGAAAGCCAAGCACAGAGGAAGGGACTGAGTTTTCCAGATTGTTCGGCAGTGTCCTGGTTCATCAGGCCACCCACGCGGCACTGCCGCCTCACGCCGATGCGGTTACCCCATCCCAGCCCAACTCTTTGCGTTGGGGAACGCTGTACGCCAGTGCTGCTGATAAATTCATCGGTAAATGAAAAGGACACAGGCGAGCCCTCCTTATCACCACACCATGTCCCCATGCCATTTCTCCCGCAGGCCGTGGGCAGCTCCTCGGCAGTTTGCTCCATTCAACGCGACCACCTACGCTTGGTGGTGGGCTCCCAACGGCGGTGCTGGCATGTGACCCCCAGCCGCCGGTGGGGAAAGAGGGAGCGGAGGCTCATGCTTGTGGCATGGGATGGGAAGCAGCATCCGCACTGGTGTGCCGCAGGAAAGCCCAGTGGGGCGGAGGGGAGGGACGGCCCTCAAGTACTGTGTTCAGTTTTGGGACCCTCACTACAGGAAAGACGTTGCATTGTTGGAGCATGTCCAGAGAAGGGCAACGGAGCTGGGGAGGGGTATGGAGCCCAAGGCTGATGGGCAGTGGCTGGGGGAGCTGGGGGTATTCAGCCTGGAGCAGAGGAGGCTGAGGGGAGCCCTCATCGCTCCCTACAACTGCCTGAGAGGAGCGGGGAGCCGGGGGTGGTTCGGGTGCTGCTCCCAGGGAATGGGTGATGGGACGAGGGGAAATGGCCTCAAGTTGTGCCAGGGCAGGGCAGGGCAGGTTTAGGTTGGACATTGGGAAAAATTTCTTCACAGGAAGGGCTGTCAGGCACTGGAAGGGGCTGCCCAGGGAAGGGGTTGAGTCCCCATCCCTGGAGGGACTTCAAAGCTGGGCAGACGAGGTGCTTAGGGACAGGGTTTAGTGGTGGGATGGCAGGGTTAGGGGAACAGTTGGAGTTGATGACCAATCAACTTTCATGGTCTTTTCCAATCTAAACGATTCTGAGTCTATGATTCTAAGATGGGGCCTGGGCCACTCAGAGGGGTGACGGCAGGGTCGGGGCCTGGCTCCCTCTGAGGGATGAGAGGGTGCCCACCTCGCCTCAAGGCGATGGAAGCGTCGAGGACGCGCCGACCCCCCCTGCACCGCTCCGCCTCGCTGGCCCAGGCTGCTAATGCCGTCACGCAGCGCCCCTAGCGTCACTATCCCCAGCGGTACGCCACGGA